CCGTGCCTTTTCAGAGTCATAAAGCATGGAAACAGACCCTTTGGTCCAACCAGTCCAGGCTGACCATGTTCCCAAACTAAACTCGTCCCACCTGCCTGTGCTTCGCCCATATCCATCCAAACCTTTCCAATTCACAAACTTATCCAAATGTCTTTTAAATATTATAACTCTATCTGCATCTACTTTGTCTTTTTCCATTTTCTTTCTGCATCTTACAACCTCCTAATATTTTATTTCTGCTTAATTGTTTCATGCCAGTTTAATTCAAATCCTTCAGCTTCTCATTGGCAATCTGAAATCTTTTTGCTCCTGCTTAAAATTTACTAGCTTCAAAATGCCAAACTGTTCTAATTTCAGGAGCCAATCTCTTCTTCCTTTCAGAGCTGAATGCACTGGAAAGATAGTAGTAATTTCTCCAACACCTCTCTACATTGAGATATCAATTACATTCTCAGTTCCAGTTGCTACAGTGAAATTGCAACATAACATGCCAGAGAGACAAACAGCATAAGAAATGTCCTTCAAAATGGCTGCAACTTGATTTGAGAGACAAAGTTGGTGCCTGCTTAGTTCAAGTCCTTATAATATTCTGCAACTGCACATTTTTTTTGTTGTAATCTTCCAGCATGTCATTATTATATTGCTCTGCTCACAAAAATGACTTTTATTTTCTATGCGTCGCTCCCACCTCCTTCATCTTTACATTCTCATTTATCCAATAGAATATTTCAAAGGACTTTCCATTAGCTTGGCTGCTTCATTTTTGTGTCCACCACCCCTAATATCTTCTAAGACTTTCATTGTTGCTTCAGTTTGTTGACCACCATCCTCTGTCCTCTTAACACTTCAGTAAGCCAATTCCACTACACTGTATGAGATGGGAAGCTGCCAATTTTAAGAATTACTTATAGATAGCCTTCATAACTACCAAAGCTTAAGTAGAACTGCAGGATAAACGTTGGTGGTTTTTGTTATCTTCACATATTTAAATTGAGTTGATTTAAAAAGAATCTTTCATAAAATTCAGCTAAAATTCCATGCCTCGCAGACCAATCTAAATGAAGGTGTTATGAAAGCTATCAATAAGAAAATCTCAACACCAGCATCTACTGGTGATTGCTTTCCTGCCAGCATTCAAATATTCATCGGTAATTTACTTCCTCATTCTTTTCTCTTTGCCACCTGCATCTGCATTTCACCATCCATTATTCACACAGATGAATTGCACTGACAAAGCAGGCAAAAAAAATCAAATTTCACAAATGAGTTAGTCTGAAGATCTAAATCTGTGTTTACTAAATCTGAATATGTTTTGAAAAACAAACACAGCTTTGTACACGTTAGGCTCTTAGAAAATTATGACACATTTAATTTTTTTTAAATCAGTCTCATACACTCTGTCTCTCCAACCCCACATACAATTTTTTTGTTTTGCTGCGACAAAACAGAAAAATGACCACTGAAGCAGAAGCATCAGCAAAGAAGGTGCAATGAGGATGGACAAGCATTTTAGAAAAGAAACTTCACTTTGTGTAGCAACAGTATACATACTAGATTTGTAGCTTCCTGCAAAACTAATTTATTCATGTGTTGTAAATGTTTATTTCTTTCCACTGACAGAATATAGAATTTGGTAAAACAATTTGCTTTATGAGGGAAAAGAAATTCGTTTCAGCAAGGACATTTTCTTTTCACCCTCTAGTGCTCGCCTTGAGAAAATTGCTGAACTCTCCAAGGGCAACCACAAGCATTGCTATCACTTGCCAGTGCAAGACCTGAAAATATTGGTGACAGATGATTGTTAAACATACATGGATCATTTTCAAAGATGCAAAAGTACAGATATCAGAATACTATAGGAATAATCAACATACATTGATTTTTATATAAATAGCCATTTTTGTTTCTTTTGATTTTTTTTCAACCTTTAACAATTCGAAATCATAAATTTAGTAGATTCAACCACTTTTTGCTCTCCAATCAATCAGGCATAGGTTCCTTTCTTAAAAGACTAGAATATAAAACATGCAGCATCTAACAATCAGTCAAACTAACAGACTAGCATGTGTTAACTTTTCAACAGTTTTAATCCAACACAAAAAACAAAAGATCTGCAGTGATGGAATCTACAAATTATAAATATTTTTTCAATGTTTCAGTCTTTTACGTCAGAAAAGTGCTGTAGCACTGCAAGAATTTCTTTGATACAAATCAAAAATCTGGGAATTTAATGCTAGGTTTATTAGCAAAGCCAGTTCTGAATCATGCCGTATGTGAATAATTGCACATTTCAGTTTTACCCCTTACAGGGCCAAAGGGTTTCTGGGTGTAGTCTCTATATAAATTAATAAGAACCTAATCCCAAGCAGTATGTTGAATAAGATACCATTAGTATCCTTCAGTTGGTCAAGGGATTGAAAGGGAGATAATCAAGTTCATGATCTTCCCAGCAAACTTTCCTGAACGACTGACAGTGTGCTGCAATATCTGGTAAGGATGGTATGTGATGTCATTCCCACCATAGTTGAATGGTCGACAGATTTGCAGAATTGTTACAGTACTGAAAGGTGCCATCCATATGTCTGCTGACTCTCCAAATAAGCATCTCACTTAGTACCGTTCTCATGCCTTGGTTAAAGAGTAACCCTGCAGATTGTTCCTTTTAAAAGTAATCTTTTAATTCCCTTTTGAATTCCTTTTGAAGTCCCATACTTACAAATCGATCAGGAGGAATGGTTACTTCAGCAAGGTACATAGAGCACTGGACATCTGTAGTTCTGTATGTAATTAAAACCCGTCACCACCTTTAAAATGGAAGAATAAAATGACACAGGTGGCCTCCTTAAATGGTATAGTGGATCTGATACCAGACTACTTCATTGAAACATAAAACAGTACTGTGCAACAGAGTGACTGGATGACATGCCTTTTGTAGGATTGATTTTTTAACCAGAAAAAAAAAGACTCCACACAATCGGGAATTCAGTCAAACAATTTATAGGTGACCTCAATGCAAATACATAAGGTAAATGTGCACACAACTTAGTGCTTAGATTACCTTGCAATTTTTTTCTCCCTATGTACACTGCAACTTTGCATTCCTCCTAGTGGCTGCATCATTTGAAGCTCTTATGTTCACAACATACTTCAGTTAACTCCTATCGTGCTACATGAAGCGCAGCACTTTAAATAAAACAAAACACAAGTGTCCAGTCTCATTGCTTCTGCTGTGTGGAAACTTGGTGCTGATCATGGCAAACTGGGGTGGTTCTCTGAACGTATGCCTGCTCCCAACTCGATCTGTTACTATTTCCAGCCAGTTATGGGAATGGCAAAACTTCTGTTTTTTTTTACAATTCTGAGGAAGGGTCACCGGACCCTCCCCACCTCTTCCTCCGTTACATTGATGACTGTATCGGCGCCGCCTCGTGCTCCCACGAGGAGCTCGAACAGTTCAT